GCTTTTTTTTTCAGTATATCTACAAATAGAGATGTTGTTGTTTCATAACGTGGTACTTGAGATCAGTTTATATTAATTCATCTTATTTAATTTTACATACAACCTATCAGTATGGCTCAATATACAATTATCATATTTGGAATAGTTTTTGTTGTGGAAGAAAGTATTTGAAAACCTCTTTTTTCATACTTTTCATTTGTATTCTATTCTATCTTATGTGAATTTCCTGCTACTTATAACGGATATTTGTTATATCTTAAAGCACTAGGCAACTACTAAGGATTATTTGTTAACAGTTGCGCAAATGTAATCACAGCTGGTCAACGATAAATTTGAGCTTTCACACCTAAACACTTGTATTTCTCTGTTAAAATGTAACTATACATTTAATCTTATCTTCTTAGGCCAACTGGTTTACTAAGAATAGATTTATAGTATCGTCACATGATTGCTTATATATTGCGTCTCGATTGCCAGGCCCAATATGTTTCACAGAAATAATTCTTAGCTTATTATTATGCGGATGTTTAACTATGTACATGCTGTTATAATAGTGAAGAGTGAACATTCAATGAACGATGCCAAATAGTGTGGATTAATAAATGTGTTGGACCTTAGTAATGAAAGTTCCTTCTAGTCTTTCTGTATTGAAGCACAGCCAATCACAGGATTCACACATTAGTATTTTGTTGCCTTGCTAAGGTGTTATTCACGTAACTGTTACCATGAGTAGGTTATAACTGATAGAGGCGATCATATATACGTGTCCTCGGTCACGTCCAAAGAAGTAAGAATCTTGTTTTTTTTATAGGCAAACATATCAAGATGTAGATTCGGGAATTTACTCTATTATGAATTATTTTGTAATATCCAGAAAATGACCCCAAAAGTTTTTTATTTATTGTGGTGAGCATCTGTCCTATTTCCTGTATGCTTCTTTAGAGCACTTTGAAATAAGGGAAGTCGGAATTTACAGAGTTTAAAACTATCCTCGTCCTAGTTACAAAATTATAAAAAACCTCCGTTTAATACCCATGGTTCAGGATAATTGTTTGTTTGTTTGTTTTGAATTTCGCGCAAAGCTACACGATGGCTATCTGCGCTAGACGTCCCTAATTTAGCAGTGTAAGACTAGAGGGAAGGCAGCTAGTCATCACCACCCACCGCCAACTCTTGGGCTACTCTTTTACCAACGAATAGTGGGATTAACCGTCACATTATAACGCCCCCACGGCTGAATGGGCGAGCATGTTTGATGGGACGGGGATTCGAACCCGCGACCATCAGATTGCGAGTCGAGCGCCCTAACCACCTGGCTATGAGGGGCCTGTTCAGGATAATTTATTACATTAGACTTAACACAAAAATAACGCATGTTATTAGAGATGTGCTGGCCCTTAATTTTAATAATTATATAAAACTAAAGAAAACATACTCTCTCAAATATACACGTAGTCACATCAACCGGTTTAATGAACACGATTTTCTAATATACTATTTAAAGTGTTGCCATTACATTCATTTTTGTATTTCTTGCTCCCCTCCCCCTGTTCATATGGGCGTGGCTAAAAATTGGTCAAGCCTGTAATTTGTGCTAACCCATCTCCTCACAAAATTTGAATAGTCTCATTAGGTTTTGGATACACATGTAACTCAGGCGTAACGTAAAGCACTCTAGGTGGCTCATTGATAAGCCTGAAAGTTTGCAACAGTAAAAAAACCAGGTGTTGACACCTACGGTGGGCAGAACACAGATAGACCATTGTGTATATCTATGCTTAACAATGTGCACTTAATAACAGAGAGCTATTTTAAATTTGTGATATAGTTGTTAATATGTTTAATGTTCTGAGGGAAAAGAAGGAAATGAAAAAACATCAAAAAGCAACAAAAAAGTTTAAGCTAAGCTACGTTTCTAAATTTAATGATTTATTAAAAAGTGGTTAGGGCGCTTGATTCGCAATTTGTGGATTCGAATGCTTGTCACCGAACATACTTGCCATTTCAGCCGTTGTGGCGTTATAACGTGACGGTCAATTCCACTATTCGTTGGTAATGAGTAGCCCAAGAGTTGACGGTGGGTACTATTAACTAGCGGCTTTCCCTCTAGCCAATCACTGCTAAATTAAGGACGGCTAACACAGATAGACTTTTATTAGCTTAGCACAGGTAGCTTTTCATTAGCTTTGCGCGAAATTTGAAACAAACCAAACCTCATCATATGCTTCAAGAAATAAAATAATTGAGTGGGCGAGGAAATAACAAAATATTATATAAAGTACTGGTAAAAACTCACCAAATTAAAATCACTTTATTAATAAACCAAGTTCTCTTTCCTTTAACTTTATCTTTTCCATTTCCCCGCCCTACAATTTTTCTATAATTTCTCACACTGACATTTATTGGATACAACTTTACGTTCAATGTTCGCACTTTTTTTCCTGTCTAGCCAGTTCACTTCAGTCACACACTATTGTTAACTCTATATTCCTCTCTTTTCACCGTCGTTCGTCACTTCTATTAAGTTCACATACCTTTTATTGTTGTACCCCTTTGAACAATATTACCCGATGCACGTTTTCATTCATTTTCTTACATTGTTGCATGTATTTGTGTTTTACGTTTCCCTTTTCGTTGTATATTTACTGCAATTAACTTTATTTGTAACACTTTTATTATTATATTATTTTACTTCATATGTTACTTCCCATACCTCATTTGTAGTTTCGGTAACATGTTCTCGAGCCTTCCAGTCACGTGTTATTTGTTCTTTCAACTTAACCCTTATATTAACAGTTTCATTGCCACTTGTAACCTGATGAAGTGCTGTTGCCCGAAACGTCGTTTTCTTGTCTCATCATATACTTTTCATTCGACATTTTCACGAAAGAAGCGAAAACGTTTCTTAAAAATAACTTCCTTGAGGACTAGTTTTCATTAAAATCTGAAACTCACTTTTTATAAAACACGTTACTGCTTTACAAAATGCTTTATAATCTAATAAATGTTTAACATCGGATCCAACCACTTCGGAGCTTTGAACAAGGACTGTCTTAAGGAATTTCTTTAATTTATATACTTTGATCAGAAGTAACCCTTAACAATTAATTAATATTATTATTATTTTAATAACTATATTAGAAATATATTTGAAACTCTGGGTAACCTAGTTTTCTTAAGTCATATTATAGATTAATATGTTCTTTGATAGAGGTAAAACGAAAATCACAACGTTTTAAATGTTGAAGCTCTTACTTAGTTTATGATATGATAAGTGTTTAGGATGATAATTCGTCATTGTATACATGTGATTTCTATTACATTGTTTGTCCACGTAAAACATTTGATTGAGCGGGAATCAGCGTTAAACTGACAAAAATTATGTAATTTTAACTATTGTTGTACAAAATTGTCTTGTCATTGCTCAGCATCATTCAATTATCTTTAACTGTTACAAGGTGGTATTAAATGTTGTGGAAAACATAATATTCTAGAGTCTGTAGACTCTATGTGTAGGTATGGTCAAGGTACTCAATAAACATAATACAAATATGCACGCTATAAAATCAACAATGACAGAGAGTTTGTTTTAAAAGATGATTGACACTCACTTTCATTTGTTTCTCAACCAAACAAGGCAAGAAACTATCGCTAAGATACCAAACCAAAAGGTGACCAACCCACCAAGTTGTTCATCTTTCTTATTGCTATTTCAGTCGAGATAACTCTACAACTACGTTAAACATAAACCCACTATGTGTATCTGGTCAGTGCACGATGTCATCTCTTAGTCGAACTAACAAGTAGACATAATTCTAGTGTTATAATTACTCCCTTCAAGCTAGCTTTTTTATGGTGCTTCTTTAAAGGACTTAAGTACAAGGTGAAAAACAGGAACAACCAGCCAATAATAGATGAACGTTAGATGACTGTAGCTTGTAAAATACTCAATGTTTTGTACACTATACAGTCGGTGTCTTTAGGAAGTCAACCCCTATATTATGTATGAACTGAAGGAGTAAAAAAAAAATACATGATATAGAATACACTAACTTTCAGTTACGGGAAAAAACGTCACAAAACCAGTAATAAAAAAACATTTTGTAAATGTAAAATGATGTAGTGATGGTAGTGCCAAAAATAATGGAAACAAGAATATAGGGATGATACAGCTATACATAGTTCATCCTTACATGATTTTCAATATTAAAATTTAATATTACACTGGAAAATGCATACTTTATTTTAATATTAGTACAGTTAGAAGTTATATATTATTGACTGTTATATATTATTTGTCAATAATATAATGATATTGTCTTCGATATATATATATGCTTCTGGTACTTTTCTCATTTAGTTAGCTTTCTTGCCTACATTCTGCATGCAGTACTAGCTTCCTCATCAGATATCAAATGAAAAAAACAGAATAAAAATAAAGCAGCGTATTTTTGTTTCAAAAAATATGACAAAATGTAAAAGAAAATAAGGCGAATAAATAATAAAACGGAACAATTTTGATCAGTGAAGAAGTTTGCCGGTTATCATTCAATATATTTCATCTTAAACTGCATTATTACTCGTAATGACTTGTGTTTTCTATCAGTTTTAAGGAATTTTACTTTGAATCAAAGCTGTCCTTCAAGTCATGATTTGTAGAATTTGCAAAACGCAAAATAGTATCGCTAAAAAACAAAATAGAGACTTCAACAATTATCTAATTATTAATCTATGTGCCAACATGACTAACTGACTAAATGTTAAACACAAACACGAATACATAATCCTTCAAATAGAGAAGACGAAACTTTTAAGAAAACTTGCAGTATTTTTCTAACGGCATGTATTACTTCAGTTACTTTAAAACATTACATATGAATTTTGAGTAACAAGAAGTATTAGCAGCGTTTATGTATTTCTCTAAATATTTGATAGAGTCTAATTTCTTTGTGTGTGTGATTCTGCAGTTGTGGTCAATGTGTCGGAGGAAATACGGGATTACCACCAGATTTCGGGCAAGATATCTGTGGTATATGTGATGGTAAAAATGAATGTGTTGGTTGTGATGGTGTTCCAAATAGCGGCTGGATTCTAGATAACTGTGGAGAATGTCGTCCTACAGAATATGATATCGGTAGGTTAATGCATTTTTTAACTTTGTAACAATATATAAAAAGTCAGTTTACACTATGAATATTATCCTCTTACTCATAATTGAATCAGAGATGTCCTATATGTCAAAACTAGCTATTACATGTATAAGTACAAAGTCGTGTAACCATTAGTGAATATATTATGAGTTTTACTTCTTGCTGGTGCAAGCAGATATGTTTGTAACAATAGTTCTTCGACACTCTTGGTCTAGTATTATCTCTCCAGGTTATGTTATACCAAACAATATGTTCCTCATATTTTGATTTCAAAAGTCTAGTATACTGTATAATCAACAATAATCATTTGCGAGTCTTTGTTAAAAAGTCTTAGTTGTTCCAGAGTTCAAAGATGAGGGCGAGATCTAGCCTGTTTACAGGAATAGAAGTTTTGTTCTGTAACAGATGTATGCATTCTGTAAACAAGAATTGTTTCGAGTGTTTTACTAACTACACTACCCAGTCTAATGAGATGATACGAATTTCTACGTATTAAAGGTCTGTCATGTTTTAAAACAAAATCGGTAAGATACTCGAAGACAATATTTTGTGTTCTCCAAATAAAGTAGACACACTGAGTATGATTTAGAGTCCATTTTATAAAGAATAAAAACAGGAAGCTGAAAGCCTAGGGTTGTGTGCTAAGGAGCTGGTAACAGGGTGGAATGATCGAATTAGTAGCTAGATTGACTAAAACTGGAACAGTATTAACTGAAAGATAATGTGTCAACAGAGGCCAACGAGATAATTTCGACATTGTAGCTTTAGTTACGACAGCAGAGAGAACTGAAAGCAGCTATTGAAGGATATTCGTAATCTAAAACATCAGTCTGTGAAGTAGAAATGACATTTGACAATTGAAGTTCCTTGAAGCCGGAGACAGAACAGGATTAAAGCTTAGAACAATGAAACTAGTAGAAAGCCCTGTCGTGTCGATTGTTCTCTGGTGTTCCACATTAATGGGAATCCAGAATGCACACAAACACATAGTAAATAGGGAATGTTTTACAAATTGATATAGAATAAACACACGAAAAACGATAAACTGTAACTCTAAAAAATGGAAATGATTTTACAAAGCAAGGATAACAGTAACAAACAGGGCTTGATAAATCTCTGTAACAAAGCAGGAATAACAGTAACAAATAGGGCTTGATAAATCTCTGTAACAAAGCAGGGATAACAGTAACAAACAGGGTTTGATAAATCTCTGTCACAAAGCAGGGATAACAGTAACAAACAGGGCTTGATAAATCTCTGTCACAAAGCAAGGATAACAGTAACAAATATGGTTTGATAAATCTCTGTCCCGAAGAAAGATTACAAAAGTTAATATGTATTGTGTTATAAAGTCTAAAATAGCTTAATGATTTGTTAGTCATTACAATAATCACAAAATATCCGATATATATCCTATGAACAAACATAAACAAAATTTATAAGAAATATTAATTTTCAAACTTCATAAAAACAAATCTAAGATCAGCTTTTTAAAGGATTTTTTATAGGCTTGTACTTTGTTTTCTCCTTAGATTGCTTCACGATTGATATACTACCACCAAAATCCTTGGATGTCAACCAAAAGTATGAATACATGAGCATCATAGTAAGAGGAAAATATATACCACTTACGTCAGTTGTCAACTGTGATCTTGTACCGAAATTTAATATATCAAGCAAGGTAAGTCGTGATGTATAAAACTAACTTGAAGCCTTGATCTATTTTGACGTATTTTAAATAATCTTTTATAATTTTTTTACAAATTTACAAAATAATTTTATAGGAAAAACAAAATATCCACAGACTAATACAAAAACAATGAAACAAAGTAAATTATCATCATTATTTTCCTAAGCATTCTTATGAAATTTCACTAGGAAATAAATATTATACAGTAATTTTAGCCATTACTCAATTTTATACGTTTTTCGCTGATTAGGGGAATTTTCTGTTTATGTTCTCTTTAAATAACTATATAAGGTTTAGTTTCAATAGATGTCTTGAAAATATTTTATGTGTACTCTACACTGTTCTATATATACATTTTGGTATTCTGTTTAAAAAGGATTTTTATAATAGCTTTTGGTCTGGCATGACCAGTTGGTTAGGGCGCTCGACTCGCAATCTGCGGGTCGCGGGTTTGAATCCCCCTCACACCAAACATGCTCGCTCTTTCGGCCGTGGGGGCGTTATAATGTGGCGGTCATTTCCACTATTCGTTGGAAAAGAGTAGCCCAAGAGTTGGCGGTGGGCGGTGATGACTAGCTGCTATCCATCTAGTCTTACAATGCTAAATTAGGGACGGCTAGCGCAGATAGCCCTCGTGTAGCTTTGCGCGAAATTCAAAAACAAACAGAAAAACAATAATAGCTTTTACAGAAGGCATTTGTTACGCTTTGTGTATTTTTTATTATAGCTACTTAAAATATATATGAATATTTGTATGGTATAGAAGGTATTGAATGCTGAAAATTTCTAAAGAAATATAATAATCAAAATACGCCCGTTGAACTTTTTATTACAGGAGAATTACAGCGTTAAATAACGATTATCAATGACTTTCTATAGTGTGATTTTCGGTTGCTTTGATAAACATCTGTGATTTTTATACAGAAATTCCTATTTTAGTATTCTTCTTTATTATGATCTTCTTACAAACCATTCACATAATAATTTACTCTTGAATTATTTATACTTAAATACACACTTAATACTGTGTTTTTGTGAATTGAAGAGTTTGGTACTTGCAAGTTATTTTGAATAACTGTTTTTAAACCACATGACATCTAATGTGCTAAAATCTCACTGTGAAAGGCCTACAGGTAGTTTCTCCCTCACTTGCTCATCACGCCACCAGAGGGCGAAACAAGTGTGTTGACCTCAGAATATGAGGGAAATCGATGACGTTGTAATTCTAAAATCATAAAAGTTGTAATTATACTCACCAGAGAAGAAGACATCATAGTTCCAAGAAATGGAACCAGAGAGTGCGTTGCTACGCAACCACGACAGGCGGGTGTTGTTATAATGACGAAACTTGTCCAGAAGGTGTGTTGCTTGTCCAACATGATTTCATCACAGAGTTTCTCATAATGTCATCAATGTATAGATTTAATTATGCTCAAAAAAGTTACAAGAAAAAATTGTATTTTAACGAAACAAGTATCATAACACTGTTACACATGTCAATTTTCTCACACATATTAACAATCATTTGAATGAGGCAGATATTATAGCCAATAATTTATTTTACATACATGTAGAAATTATTTTTTTTGCTATATGCATAAAACAAGTTACTAATTCATTAGTTCTAAACTTTTGCTTCTATATTTAACATTCATGACATAATTTTTGCTGTTTCTATAGCTGGATAGTATTGCTATCACATTTAACATAACGCTGAACAGTTTTTATCCCACGCAATGTTTTTATAAATATTGAACGAGACAACCTATTGTGTTTTTTATTAGTTAGTAAGCCTGTATTCCAGGAAGTAACCATAAAGCAGTTATGCTGTAACTTTTTAAAATATACACGTATCTTCATGCCACTTTGTAGATTATCAGTAAACATTACAAGGCATTTGTGCACAAAGTATCAGGTTTTTAATTAAGTTTTAACATTTTTAATTAATTATTTGCTCGTACATTTGATTTTATTTTCGAATATTAACTATCCAACATGCGAAGTAATTTTGATTGAAAATATTTTTATGCATCAGGCAATTGTCAAATTTCACATGCGAAATCTTCATAACCTCCTAATATCTTCCAGATAATTATCAAACGCTTTTTTCAGAAAAATATTTATATTTTTATCTGTTATTTTCACTGTTGTATCTTTGTATGAGTTTGGTAGATTTTACCAACCTCGTAACCACAATATATATATAAAAAAAAGGAAATAGATATAAGTTACGCTTTTTTTCATTCTAGAATTATTACAAGTTATAACACAAAACCATAAATGTTTAGTGTAAATAGTTTAAATTTCATAACATTTTACATGTATATAAAAATTTAATTTTATTTTATTACCTTTTCAACAGTGTCTGACTAACATTCCAGAAATTGGATGACGCGGCGTACGTGCACTCATGTTGCCATATTAATAATATAAAATTGGCCTTTACAAAGTGACCTATCTTGGCTGTGTTCTAGTGGGCCAGTATTTTATAAAATACAGTCACATTTCGGTTATAATACATTATATATGCATATACATTATTACTATTTACAAATAAGTTCTTAAATTTCTGTTGTTTTTTTTTCTTAAAACATATAACAGTAAATAAAGAATATAGAAAACAATTATCTCTTTTTTTTTAGTTACGAACTTTGTTCTCGTTTGTTGCTTGTAATAATTTGCTAAGCCTTATCAAGTTTCGCACGTGGAGAATGTAAAACAAAATAATTTGTTTGGGTTTTACATAAGCATTTGGCAATAACAAAAAATTTAATTTCTATATTATATTTTATTCTTAACAGCTAAACTGTATTTGGGTCTAAAAAGTATGATTTTTCGAGCTCAATAATGTCTTACCTTAACACTTGAAATCTACCATGAAAAGAAGAAATTTCTTGCGTAAATACTTCGCAAAGGCTCAGACAACCACGTGGGGGGAAATTCTGAGCTTTCGATTGGTTATTCACACGTCATAGACAGAAGTAGGTGTACGTAAGCAAATGTTTCCAAAAAAGGAAAGAGGTGGGTGATGTCACTATGTTTGGTTCATTATATGTAGTGATAGCTCAGCAAATAGAAAAGATAGGATATTCTTATTTTATATTCTAGTTGGTAAATATCGATAATTTTAGTTCCTAATTTGTAAGAAACTATAGATTTTGTATTTGGACATCATAAACATCTAATTTGAACCAATGCTGCATTCGACATACCACATGACACACAAAAATCGATATTTCGGATATTTTTTAATATTTACTTTTATATTAAGAAATTAATTAATATATAATACTAACATTTGAATTATATTCTACAATCTAATACCAAGTTTATTGATATACATTCATAAAATAGTAGTTCAATAAACATTTGAATGTAAGTCTACAAAAGTGATAACATGGCCTTTGACCTGTGATCATAGGAAGACCTGTCAGATCCATCTTGGTAGGGTTAATGTATTGTAGTATAGTTTTCGCTTTTATATTCAATCATACTTTTTATATTTCCTGATGTTTTATATGTAAAACACTTATTGTTAATTCATTTCTATAATTATTATATATCATACATTCATCCTGAAAATGACACTTGTTTAAATCTATAGAAAATATAGAATATTTTAACACAAAAACTTACTCTGTCATTTGTTAGGCTTTATGGACTAAACATATTCTTATGTTAACCCTCTATGTCAGTTTCCATTCATACCTGTCATTTTAACATCTGGCTAATGAACTTTGCAGTAAATCATTTTGCTTCAACTAAATATAATAAACTAATAAATTACTGTTTATACAGTCGATTTACTATGATGAAAATTATCTAAAATAGTAACAGTTACCATTCGTTTGAAGTACTATACAATTAACAGTCGTAAAACGATGTGATTTTAAAGTTCTTTCTTCTTCAACAGACGTTGAGATAAACCTCTTCTGACGTCAATGTCATTGTTTGTTAGTAAATACATGGGTCATTACATGGTCACACATACAATTAGTGTGGACTACTTCAGCATATTCTGATGATGCATATCTGCTGATGGAATGGTTAGAAAATTGTAACCCTTTGTGTCTCCTAAGGCTAAATCAAGTAATGCTTTCGTTCTTACAAACCAGAAATTATACTTCACTATCTTCCGTAAATTAATTTTATGTATATTTACTCTAATTTTTTCGAAGTACATTTTTCACAAGTGAACATAACGGAAAACGAACTTTTAATTATAATTCTTTAATTATTCCAATGATAATTTCCTCACTTGGATTTTGAAATTGTTCTGGTATCTTAGAGAGGGGACTGATAGAATTCAAAGTTTAATATGACAGATAATTTTATGAAAAGAGAAGTTGAACAAATCAATTATAATATATTGTCACCAGATTATCAATTATCCTTAATATTAAATTAAATTGTTCAATCTCTACATAATCCTATATCTTCTACATAAATTTAATGTTCAGTATACTTTAACTTAACTGGAGATAATCAGTTTTCACTTTACATAGTGATACAAAACACTAGTTGTGTATTCACGATATTTGACGGGGCATACAAGAATTGTATGCTAACCGAAATGAGAAATTTTGGAAGATAAAGAAATAGAATTTCTGGTTTGTAGGAACTAAAACATTACTTGTTTTATCCGTAGGTGATTCAAAGGGTCAAAACTTTCAAATCTTTCCATCAGCTGCTAAGCGTCAGAATATGCTGAAATAGCCCACATTGATTGGATGTTTGACCATGTGATAACCTATGTATTTCCTAACAAATGGAGATCTTGATGTGAGATAGAGGTTTATTCCAATAGCTATTGAAGAACAAAGAACTTTAAAATAACAAAGTTTTATGAATTTTAATTGTATAGTACTTTCAAGCGAATGGTAAGTGTAATTATTTTAAATAGTTTATATAATAGTAAAGCGACTGGTTAAATAGTAAGTCATTCATTTATTATATTTACTTAAAGCAAAATTATTTACTACACAGTTTCTTAGCCAGATGTTAAAATGAAAGGTATGAATGGAAACAGACATAGAAAGTTAACATAAGAATATGTTTAATCCATAAAGCCAAACACGTGAAAGATTACGTTTGTATGTTAAATATTCTATATTATTTAGAGATTTAAATAAGCATAAGTTTCAGAATGTATAGATGGTATATAATAATTATAGAAATGAATTAACGATAAGTGTTTTACATAAAACACTATAAAGGGTCAGGAAATGTAAAAAGTATGATTAAATATAAAAACAAAAACCATGCTACAATACCTTAAATTAGTTCTAAGTCATTAAAACACAATTGGCTATCTTGTTCAATATTTATAAAAACATTAGGTGTGATAAGAACTTTTCGAAAGTATGTTAAAATGTGATAGTAACACTATCCAGCTATAGAAACAGCAAGAAGCATGTCATGCATGTTAAATATAGAAGCAAAAGTTTAGAACTAATGAATTAGTGAAAGAATTATAAAAATATGTAAATTATTGGCTATAGTATCTGCCCCATTCCAATGATGGATACTATGTATGTATGATAAAAAAATGACATGTGTAACACTGTTATGATACTTGTTTCGTTAAAATAATCATTTTTACTTGTAACTTTTTAGAACACAGTTAAATTTAGACATTGATGACATGTTGAGACAATCTATGATGAGATCATCATGTCGGATTAACAACATGCTTTCTGTACAAGTTCCGTTATATTGACAACACCCGCCTGTCATGGAAGCCTAGCGATGTACTCTCTGGTTCCATTTCGTAGAACTATGATGCCACCTTTTTTTGGTGAGTTCAAACATGACGTCATCGTCTCTGATGAGTGTAACTATGATGTCATCGTTTCTCTATTGCCCGAGGTCAACACACAAGGGTGTAACTATTCATATATATACAATAATGTATGAAATAACAAGGGTTATGAATTTATTATCTAAAACCAAAAAGGGGATAGCAACATATTCCCTGGCATTTTTTCCATTTCGAGATGTCGCATTTTAGCACTTTTTTTGCGATTTCAGCCGATATTGATCTATTTTATTGTTTGAACATGATTCTTAAAATTATAAATGTTAACAGGGTTTCTAATGCTTTTCCTGAGAAAGAAAACATACCCTGAACAATCAACAACATCTTCAAGATTATATCTTACCTATAGTATATATCCATGTTTTCTAACACTGAGATTATCAAAATACATTTACCACTTGCAAGGTTCTAAGCCTAACAACAGTAAAAAATATCATTGTTTATTAATAAAACTATCAAAACATTAAAAACGTAGAAACCATAATATCTGTGTCATACATACTCGTATCTAAAATAAAAGAATGATTAAAAGCGAAAATAGAAGACGAGGATTTAAATGCACAGAGATAACAAAAGGTGTAATTGCACAAAGGACAATATGAGGGTGAAACGATCCCTAGGACGCTAGATAATCTTTGTATGTGATATTTTTAAAACTGTAGTTTTCACATATACTTCAACATACGAAAGTCGTTATAACAATGTCATTGAAGTGTTAAATTAGATATGTATGTATACTTATTTGTTTTAAGGTTTTTGTGGACATTCCAGGTAAAAACACCAAAACTGGAAAACCTTATCGTATCACAAGTACTGTATAAAGCTATTATGCACAGGATTTTCTTAACATGGAAGATGGAACCTGACTGTACACTTGGGGCATATTCACTTCGATGTGTTTTACAGTTCGATCATGCTACTTATACAGTTGAATTACAGCAACACAAGTTCCTATACATAATCAATGCGAGCACTCAGAGTATAGTGAATGACGAACCTACTAAAATACGAATTGGAAGCCAACAATATGTAAGTCATTAGATTTTCAGTATTTTGTCTTACGTAAGTCGATAAGAAGGACATAAGCACAAAGTATAAATTAATATTAACCTCTGACCAGAGTAAGCTACCTACTTAGGGCAAACTAAAAATCAATCTGGTAATGAGTATTGTTATTTAAATATTATTTTCTTACGCTCTCTTACTCATAAAGATTAGAATGCATTGTTTCATAAGTTTGGTATCCTTGCTGTTAACAATATTTTTACCATTAGCACAATAATATCTCACGAGGTTCGACCAGTTTAGAAAGTTTTGGTTAGTCTTAAATAAATCTGGTTAGTTGAAAATGTAACTGCATTCATATAAGAAAAGTATAATGACAGAAACTTATATTACAAATATATTTAACATTCTAGCTGTTACAATTAATGAAACTAACAATAAAGAAATAATGAGTATATTTTACCTTCGGAACACAAAGACACAAGCTGTTGTATTCATGTACTCTCACGCTTAATACAAGTTGAATAAAATAACAATGGTATAAGCATGTAAGTTGAAATTTCCTCAACCCTTCTTAAAAAGTCGGGTGGCAAACGAAAATATATTAAATAGCTCTGACATTGTATTTTTAAGAAGAACTGTATCTAATGTAAATTGCTCTGACACGTTTCACTGCTTAAGTGTGAAGTCAATACAAAAATTGACGTTTTTGAAGATACAAATTATTAGGGTTTTATGTATATGTGGGCCGTATTCTTTATATTGGTTGCCTGTGACTTGTATTAGCGATAAATTTCAACAATAAACAAACAGTGCCTTGTTGGCGATAAATTTCAACAACAAACAAACAAACAGCAACTTGTTGGCGATAAATTTCAACAATAACCAAACAGCACACAGTCCACTTGTTTTAAAATAGTATATTAAAACAAGTCAAACGTATACAGAAATGTTCGTTGCACAGTTGTTTATCACATTTTATCACTGTTATTTCAATACAGTCTGTGACACTTTCACTTTAAAATAACCACTATACGCTCTTTATGGCTAAATTTGCATGCAGTCTAGATCTATTTGACTATGTCTCTCACTAGCTTACTTACTTTTGGACGCGTATATATATATATATAGCCCAACAGAGGCCTAGAGCTTTTTACACACACTATGAGAGATATTAATGATGTAATAATGCTCAATTAAACAACGAAAAAGACTTAGAAGAATCTAGTAACATGACGTAATAATACAACATTCGCTAATTCACAACAACTGAAGAACACAATGTATACTTTGTAAACGGTTAAGTAAACAAACCTGCGATAAACTATCGCTTCTAAAATTAACTAAATTTAACACTTCTGCTGTACTTAAATTAAAACAGTCGAGTATATCTAACACAAAATAGTATTTGTTTATTTGTAGTTAATTAAGGCTAAAGAATGGTCCATCTATGCTGTGCCCATAAAGGGTATCGAAACTAGGTTTTTAGCGTGATAACCCTGCAAACTTACCGATATGCCTCTGGGAGGGAGCTAAAAAATAAAAAAATAGGATATTAAATAAATGCTAGATTTGGACAAAAATAGCTATAATCCTGCTTCTATACCTAAACGATAACAGTAGTAAATGTAATACTGTGACTGACTTTAACTAACCTCTGTCACTTAACAAAAAATAGGATATTAAATAAATGCTAGATTTGGACAAAAATAGCTATAATCCTGCTTCTATACCTAAACGATAACAGTAGTAAATGTAATACTGTGACTGACTTTAACTAACACTTAACAAAAAACATGGAGAGGAAAGCGGGAAGTAATAAATAAAGTTAAATGTTTTGTAAAAGATAAATGTAAACGCAATAAATCTCGAGAAAATTCAATAATAATGAGAAAAATAACTGAAAAGGGAAGTTACAATAAATAGAAATATCTCCAACAAAATAATTAGGAAAACTCTTGCAACTTAATTAACGATGTAATGCCATATCATATACGAAGCTGTTATGTAGGTAATTTTAATTATGTATTACAAGAGTTTAATCTGACGGTAGATAAAATTAGTGGTGGTCAATACACCGAAGCGATTCCCTATTACCTAATACAATGTCCAAATAAATTAAGCGTAGACCTGAACGTTTTGATATTCTGTAAAACCTTAAACACGTAATTATAAGTCAGAGTTTTATTGAATACCCAACAAAATTGAACGAACTTTGTGTTTAAAATGCAATACGAAACCTTAGTTTGTTAGAAATACGAATGGGTTTACGAGCTATATCTAAGACATTCTGCAATTTTGAAAAAAATTCTTTAATTTAAGTGGTGTGAGTATTAAACATTGTTGCATTACTTATTTAGACTATTTGTAATTGAAAATGGAGCGTTTACATTTTCAAAGTTGAAAGTGTCCGTTTTAATGAAAATTTGCTTCATACAGGAAATAGGAGATCATACTTTACAACATGCGCTGCTCACTGGAATGACCCTCTCTTACTCTTATGATCATACTTTACAACATACGCTGCTCACTGGAATGACCCTCTCTTACTCTTATGAACATGCTTTACAACATGCGCTGCTCACTGGAATGACCCTCTCTTACTCTTATGATCATACTTTACAACATACACTGCTCACTGAATGACCCTCTCTTACTCTTATGATCATACTTTACAACATACGCTGCTCACTGGAATGACCCTCTCTTACTCTTATGATTATACTTTGCAACATACGCTGCTCACTGTAATGACCCTCTCTTACTCTTATGATCATACTTTACAACATACACTGCTCACTGGAATGACCCTCTCTTACTCTTATGATCATACTTTACAACATACGCTGCTCACTGGAATGACCTTCTCTTACTCGTATTTTCCTCTAATAGTGTAAATATATTTTATCGTAACTGATAATATAGTAATTTCTTAATCGTGAATAATATGTAAGATGGGAAATAAAAAATCCACTTTTACACATATTTGTAGAACTTATATATTCATCGTCTATTAACTATTTAAATATTTACACACTGTTTAGAGGAGAATGAAATTTGTACATGTAGGTAACACTCAGTTTTTTCCCATAGATATAAAGTTTAATCCTTAACTTTATTAAGAAGTATTTTCTTGAGTAGCTTGTCAAAGGAAAGGTTTACGTGTAGTGTTTTGATTAAAGGTATTTAACTCCAATGTGAGGTAGCGCAAAGAGTTACTGGGTTGTAATTTTTAGTTTACTAATGTTCGTATATATCGATGCTTATTTATTTATTTGTGGATTTCTTTTCCTCAACAAAATTTGAAGTTCAGTAAAGAGAAATGACGTAGAGACCTAACACATTATTTGATTCACCTTTTCCGCTGCAGCAGACTAGTTTCACTGAATTCACAGATTCTCAGTACCACTCGATAAGAGCAGAACAAATAAGTAAAGTAGGCCTCATAATGATTTCACAAATACATAAAAGATAATTAGCCGCTGAAAAATAATGGATAATTAATTTTGACGGTATATCACATGTTATCGATACAACTAAAATATTTTCGGCTTTTACTGGTACATTGTTTAATATACATCACAATTAAACAATGTAGATTTATGTTAATCTTGCATTTCAACAATGTAAATATTTTTCCATATTTTGTTGAGAGTACATATAGTGAAAACTTTTTTTGTTTTTACATTTTTGTCTATGCCATTGAAGCTTTAAAACCATGAAAGAAATACGTTATCAGAGCTTACAGACGACTAATATTTGATGTTTATTTTATGTAAAATCTTATCTTACAAAGAATAACAAAAGAAAAAAAACATACACGTTTCTCACTGTAGCTTTTCGTCTTTTCCCTTTTACATAAGAAAAAAAACTATTTCCTTTTTATAATTTTTCTACAGATTGAACTGAAGTTGAAGGGTTTTCCACCCGTGAAGGAGGGATTCTATTGTTGGGGAATTCATGGGAGGTATATAAGTCGATTTCTAACAAGGAGAATCGCTGATGATGTTATTCAATGTGATATATCTACCTTGAACATTTGTGCATTTAACGTTACTGTGACTACAAGCATGGAGGTTTTTCAAGGGTAATGTCTATTAGAGTAATTGTTAAAAACTACGAATCATACGTTAATTCTGGCAAATATAAATAACACACTAGAATTTATTGCAAATTATCCTAGAGTTTATATTGAAAGCTCAATGTCCTTTTCAATAAATGAGATAAAGTTATTATAAGTTTGTGATCTAATGACAAAATATATGCAAGCGTAATAATTCAAAACTAGAATTTTGCATAATTTTTACTCTATAAATAAAACATTATCTCGAACAACATCTTGAACCTGAAAGGTGTTATGTGTTATATTCCATGGGTCCGATCGTTAACTGACAAATGTCTGGGCTTCTATAAGTTAAGAAAAATAACTGTGGCCTATTATTGAAGGCAGAGTTTTACCAAAAAGACCTTCTTTATGTACAGACATTATTATTACATTTTATACAATGGTATAAAATGCACGAGATGGTAAATTATCAAGTTTGTATATGTTGTTCTTTTGTAACAATTTCTAGCGATGAAGTAAATACTAAAAGGACTATTAAATTTTAATTTTGAACTTTTGAAATAGTCTAAATTCGTAGAATCCCATTTGGTTCCTGTTAAATAATATAGTATTTTTGATGTATAAAGTTAAAGTTTATATATATATAGTATATTTCTTCTGCTATGTGGGTACAACTCAGGTAAAAATATATGTTGCTAAGATACATTTAATTATCCTCATGTTTTAGTTTGTAACTAAATTTGGCCCATAAATAAGGTAATTTTTATTTTAGCCTAATTATATTGAATTACAGAACTGATAACATAAATGCATTTTTTTCGTCACAGAATAT